ATGGTTACGACAGATCATTTGTCTATATCAGGTAACTGGTTCCATCTTCCAGAGTCGCTGAGTCACAGCACTGGAGTCACTATCTTTTTTGCTTCACCACATAACGGAAACAGACAAATCATTTCGGCACCCTGCCCAAAAGTGCCTCTGTGTGAGCTCAATGTAGGTCATAGCTGATAGGTCAGTGAGGAGCGAGGCCACAATTTCAGGATAGCCTCTTCCTGCTTGCTAGATTTAACCTCAGCCTTTCAAAAAAAAAAAATTTCCTATTGTTTCAAGGAAAATTTCCCAACATAATTAAACTAACATTTTCAACTGAATAACATTGAGTAACATATACAAAACCCCTTTGCAGACCTATGCCATTTAATCTTAAGACTAAATTGGTGTGATAACTATCATTTTCATCAGCAAGATGGGGAATACAAGTTCAAAGAAGTTTAACTAGCTGGTCTAAGGTAGAGTTGAGATTAGACCACAGGTTACTGTAACTCCAAAGCCAGTAGCCCAACTCCCGGAATGTCAGAATCGCCTGGAAGACCACACATTCAGATTCCGACCCCTTCGCCAGGCAGCGCCATGGGGTATCATGGGGACGCTCCCTCCGGATCTCCCCCTCTATCTCCCTCCGTTATCTGTTATTTATGGCTTATTGTTGTTTTTTGGATAAACTTTAGCCAAGAAAGGAAAGTAAACCAAACTATTTTTATAAGCCAAGGAAGCTTTGAATAGCATATCAAACGAGTGTTACAGGATCTTATCTTGAGCCGCCTCTTGTCTGCTTTCTGAGTTTTCTACAGGACAAGTGGTGAGGAAAGAGGAGAGACCCGGAGTCGCTGTGCGGGCTGCGAGCCGCCTCTGGGGAGGAGGGGGAAGCCCTGGTTTACAGCCTTTGCTGATTTCAGTGGTGTAAATGCCCCCACCAGGCCAATTTCCAACCACTGATAATTGAACAACTCACAGAAGTGCTGAATTTTTAACAGTTGGCCCGAGGGCTGAGGGCCAAGGGCCACCTGCAGCACTACTGGTGTAGACTACATGAGGGGAAAAGGGACAATTGCAGCAGGATACAGCTCGTCCATTGTGTGGTCTGAACTGGCATAAACTCTCCCAAACATTACCCTATCTCAGTGTTTTTCAACTGTTTGAACCTATAGTTAAACTTTTCACCGCATACTTAAATTATGCTGATAAAAAAACGAAGTGAAAAAGAGAATATACTTACTGTGCTTTGAACTTCTTTCAAAAGTAATTTAATTATGATCTTTACAATTTTTCAAGGCACACCTAAGATCCTCTGTGGCACACGGGGGAGAATCACTGCCCTCCCTGCTGGCCTCACGCTCTGACTCCCGAGGGTGGCTCGGTGTGCCCTGGGCCTCATTTCTCACTCATGCCCAGAGGGACACTGTGGAATGGGGGGCACATGGGAGCCATGGACAAGCCTGGGCTGTGGAGCAGGGGTGGGAGATAAAGGGATGGATGACTTCCCTTTTGGTCTCCTCTGCCACGTGGCAGGGGTTATGGGACAGGCGCTTCTGCCTGAGAGCACCACGGTGGGAACCAAACATGAATAGAACGGGAGGAAGCTTGGCACTGAGCCTGAGGGCCAAGGGCTGTGTTTTCCTGTGACTTCACTCACCGTGGGGCCAGTGTCAGCACGGAGTTCATAGCACAGAACCGGAGAGGCCGCTGACCTGCTCTTAGTCCACACGTTAAGCTGGTGGGGTGAGCTGGCTTCTCAGAGACCCCCCACGACCAGGCCTGCTGGGATGATAGGGATTGTTCTGTCACCCAGAGGAGCCTTTGTGCCCAGTATCACGTGCTGATATGAGACCACCACTGCATGTGAAAATACCAAAAATGCATTCCAGAACCAAACAGAAACGGCTCCAGGACCACCTACTGTTTCAGATTATGTGTTCTTTTAGTAAACTCCCAGAGGTTGGCTATTTTTTGGATTTCCACCATGTGCCCACACAGCAAAGCTCATCATCTACAGGGAGCTCCCTGGACAGAGATCTCAGCTCTGCCCTACGGGACAAATGTGTTTGGGGCGTTAACTCACTTTCATTCTGCTTAAATCAATTTGCTCAATAATTCAAGGCCCACATACTCTTTTTCTCCTGATTAGAAAAGAAAGGTAGACATTTATCTTCTAAGAAAGCAAAGTGGGAAAGTAGTCCCAAATGAATCAACCAGAGAGAATTGAATCACAAAGGGACTTACAGTTTTAGCACGAACGCTCCAGAGGAGGTAGTGTGGGTGGGTTTCAACTAAGAAAACCTAAGTTTAATTCACCTGCTTTGAGACTTGGGGCCAGTTATTTAATCTATTCCTCATCTGTAAAATGAGGACATTTATGCTTAAATCTGATGGCAAATATGTCCTGCCATGTACCATGTACCAAGTCTATATCTTCTTACTTGCCCTTAATCCTCAAAATCATCCTTCAAAAGTTCTTAACTTGGAGGCCACACCCCATAAGGATCCAGAGACTAGAAATTAACATGCAAAACTTCTCATACATGTATTTGTGCATTTTTATCTGGGTTCTCCTCCAGGCAGATGCTGAGAATCCCAGCATTTAAAATGAGGATGAGATGGCTTGGCGCCTGTAGCTCAGCAGCTAGGGTGCCAGTCACATACACTGGAGCTGGAGGGTTTGAATCTGGCCCAGGCCTGCCGAGTAATGGTGACAACTACAACCAAAAAATAGCTGGGCGTTGTGGCAGGTGCCTGTAGTCCCAGCTACTTGGGAGGCTGAAGCAAGAGAATCATCTAAGCCCAGGAGTTGGAGGTTGCTGTGAGCTATGACGCCATGGCACCTTAACCAGGGCAATAAAGTGAGACTGTCTTTTAAAAAAAAGCCTACTTTCCAAAAGGAAACAAAAGACTGTGTATAAAAGGACCTGCACGTGAATACCAACAGCAGCTTCATTTGTTTAATTCCAAACCACAAACAACCTAAGTCCACAGTTGGTGAAAGCCTAAAAAGGGAGTATGGGCACCAGAGCATGGGGGACCCATGAAGGGCCGAGCGGCAGCCAACCACAAGGGACAGCCCCGTTTCTATGAAATTCTTGCACTAATTTAGAGTGACAGAAAGAAGATTCCTGGTTGTCTTGAGGACCAGGAGTAGGTCAGACTGCAAACAAAAGAGATTTTTAGGGTGAAGAAAATATATCAGATTGTGGTGATGGTTTCACAGATGTATACGTCTCTCCAAGCTCATTGAGCTGTAATTTTTAACAATTCCAGTTTATTGTAAAGTATGCTTTTTTTTTTTTTGAGTCTCACTTTGTCGCTCTCGGTAGAGTGCCGTGGCGTCACAGTTCATAGGAACCTCCAACTCTTGGGCTCAAGTGATCCTCTTGCCTCAGCTTCCTGAGTAGCTGGGACTACAGGTGCCCACCACAACCCGCCACAACACCTAGCTACTTTTTTCTTTGGTTGTAGTTGTCATTGTTGTTTGGCAGGCCCAGGCTGGGTTCGAACCTGCCAGCTCCAGTGTATGTGGCTGGTGCCCTAGCTGCTGAGCTACAGGTGCCAATCCAATTGTAAAGTATGCTTTAATAAAATATTGAATTAGCGATCCCAAATCCTAAATATGTGCAAATCTGAGACGGTTCTTACCTAAGTCTTACCTAACTAAGACTCTTACTCAAAGGCACGTCCTCTGAGCTGCTCACCTAGTGTGAGTGGTGGACAGCACTGACTCCTCATCCCTGCTCTCCCCTGGGCCGCTGAACAGGGTTTTTATAAGAAAGCAGCCAGCAGAATTCTCCCGCAGACTCAGTCATCACACGGAGACTCGGGTTATGACCGTGGCCCCAGGAGAACCAAGCCTGCGTCCATCTGACGCCTGACAGCTCAAGCTCCAGTGGTGTGGTTCACTCTAGTGTGTGTACTCAGATTTTACGGTCTGTCGCTCGGGAAGATGCACTGCGTTACACAAAGTTCCCTACAAGCCGGTCATAATTCCCTCCTTTACCACAGATCAGTGGTCAGCCATCAAAACTCCGTCCTAACCAGTAAGACTAACCGACTTCTGAGGAAGACAACAATGACACCTGCGAGCTTCTGAGAAGGACAGGTTTCAACCTAACTTTACAACTGATAGGCCTCAGTACACACATCTGTAGAGAAGCCAGTTTATGTTCTAAACCCAGGTATACACTAATCCCAAACTTCTCAGTGCCTTAATAACTTTTAAATGAAAAGAACTATTTTAAAAGGTCAGTGGAACGTGAGTGACTATTTGTTTGCCTATAGCTTTTGACAGCACTAAGATAACATAAGATCTTTGTGAACCAATGAGCTAACTGCAAAAGCACTTCTGCCCAAGGACTGTACCCTTGCTCTCTAACGTTGCAACCAGCATGAATATTGTGTATATTTTATCTTCAACACTTTTTATTATTGTAAAGACTTTATGGAATTCATAGTTTTTAGAAATTTAAATTTACTATGATTTGCAAGATAAACAGTAAGACTGTTGAACATGCCCATGAATGAAGTATAGTCAAAAGTTGGTGTAAAATTTTTATAAATTGGGTCTGCCTTGGAATTCTTTATTTGTTCTCCATTTGGGCAAAAATGTCATGGACTCAGCTTCATTGCCTCCTCGTAGCTGCAAAAGTATGTCACTTTTGGTTAACCTGTTACCAGTAGAATTCTAAAAGACAATCATTTGCTCCATGTAATAACTTTCTGGGGAGGCCAAACACACTTGATTAATTTTTATTTCAAAATGGCTACAAAGTTTTAATTCTCCATTATACAAATAATTCTTTAATTTTTTAAAATGCAGACATTATTCAAATGTAAGCCAAAGTCTCCATACAAATAGAGTACACACAAAGATCAAAAATATACAGATCTCCCAGCAAACTTTGTTACATAAATAAGAAAAATATATACAGCTGGTATTTTCAAAGTACTATTATATTAAATAACACTGCCATCACATATGGAAAGAACTAAATAAAAAACACCACAGCAAAAGTTAAAGAACAATAAATTCATTTTATCACATCTACAATTATGAAGATACATGTAATCAATCTTGGGGATCTATGCTTCACACTGGGACTTTAATTTTTACTTCGGTTTATCTTTTCGGAATATTCTCTGGATGGGTACAAGTCTATCCATGGCACCTAATACAACAGTTATACCATGTGAAGAACTCTATAATCTATGTCTTTTTACTTTGGGATATACATGAAAAGTAGTGTTTAAAAGTTAAATTGTATAAGCCTGTGTTAAAAATTTCCAAGTAAATGAATAGACTATTAAAAATCAAGTATTTCTGTTAAGTAAGGAATGTCAGAAAAAAAATTAAAACACTCAAAACATCTTAACATAGTAAGCAATAAAGAAAAATTACATCGTGGTTCCCTGTGTACAAGCCTCTGGGCGAGGTTTATGTTTTACCCCAGAAATTCTCCTTCCTCTTCTTGGCTCGTGCCAGGGTCTGAGAAGCGCGGAGACTCGTCGCTGCAGAGCGGGCAGAAATCTCAGACAGCCTGTCCTCGTCTGCAACGAGAGAATCCCAACAATCTACATTCAATGCAAAAATACATTAAACAAAATTTCATCTTAAGTAATGAAAGTTTATAAGCATCAAGCTTTGTAATTTGTTTCAATGTTGGGTCTGTCAGAAAAAGTAATCTATTAAAATGTAAGATATTAACATTTTCTTAATCACTCATAGTAGTTTTCCAAATTTATCATACATAGAAATCAAACATTTTGATGTTAAATGAGCATTTTTTTCTTCCTGAAATCATGTTATTAACTAAAAATACAGCCTATGATTTCAGTATTATTGGGAAACAATTCATCATAATACTGTTTTTTTTCCTACTTTAAAAAACACAGCTGCTCTGAGCAAAGAGCTTTTCTAAACTTTTAAAAAACATAATGCCATACTTTAACATGGTCCTGACACCACACTCCTGAAATAACCTCACTAAATGCAGAAACAATGTTTAATGTGTTACCTTCATCACCACCGACATTCCTCATTCTGAGTAAGCAAAAGGACTGGTATCTATCTAACCCAATCATTTATTATAAGGTTATTTATAAACTTTGATCTTCCATTAAAAAGAAAACAGAACTGGATTCAAAGTTGCCAGATATTTGCATTTCAAAACATAAAAATCTAATTTCTAGTTCACTGAGTTCTGATGAAAATTCCTCAACTTGCTAACAGGAGAGAAAACTTTTAATGTATGTGAACCTCTAATGTAAAAAGTATTAAATTCAAATTTACTTTCTAATTCAAAATTTATAAGTTCAGTAATTCCATACTTCTTAGGATAAATTAAAATAGTGATTTCAATTATTCACATCAAGAATTCAAAATTTCTCCTAGCACTATTAGAAGCAAATTAATTTGTCAGAATGAAAGCTACATAGGAGGAAAAAAATTCATTTTCCCAAATCATATGTTTTGAGAAAAATTAAAATTGACAAAAATATATACACCTTTTTTAAAAAATCACAACTGTAATGTTAGGCCAAATCCCTGAGCCCTGAGCCAGACAGGGTGGGACAATAGGAGAACTAGCCTGGGTACAGTCACTCACTGTCTGCTGGTCCTGAAGACTCCTCACCACTTCAGGTCCCAGTTCACTCGCTTAGAAAATGGGGATAGACCCTGTCACAGGGAGCCAAGGGTCTAATGAAAAAACATCTGTGGAAGTACTTCATAAACTCCAAAGGGATGATCAATGTAGGGTCATGATACTATTATCAACTATCACCAAATAGTACTCAAACTTTCATGTTATGTGACTACTGAGATACCTTCATCATTAAAGGCGTCGTGCTGAGGTAACTGGAAATTGTTCATCCTCGCTTTTCCCACTTTAAAAAAGAAAAGACAGAAGAAATTATCCTTTGAAGCTACCAAATAGCCTGTCCTAATTATGCTAGCTCATTAATAAAAGTAGGTTGTCAGAATTAATTTTATCTCACTAGAAATTACTATCAAAGGGTCATTCATTCATTTATAAAGTACTTACCAAATATATAAACTATGGATAATCTAAAATCATGTTCAATAATAACAGTGATCTATTCTAACATGGAAAACTATGCAGCCATTAAGAAAGACGGAGACTTTACCTCCTTCATGTTTACATGGATGGAGCTGGAAAATATTCTTCTTAGCAAAGTATCTCAAGAATGGAAGAAAAAGTGTCCAATGTACTCAGCCCTACTATGAAACTAATTTATAGCTTTCATAGGAAAACTATAACCCAATTTTAGCCCAAGGGTACAGGGAAAGGGAGGGGAGGGGAGGGGGGAGGAAGGGTGGAGGGAGGGTGATTGGTTGGATCACGCCTTTGGTTCATCTTATAAGGGTACATGTGAATCTTACTAAATATAGAATACAAATGTCTTAACACAACAACTAAGAAAATGATATGAAGGCTATGTTAACCAGTCAGATGAAAGTATACCAAATTGTATATAGAAACAACCCACTATACCCCATGATAGTATTAATGTACATAGCTATGACTTAATAAAAAATAAAAAAAAAATGTAATAGGCTTCTGACCAAAGCTGGTAGTTTAAATACACAAATGACATTAAACTCACAAGACATAAACCCATTTACAAAATGACATAAACCCACAGGACAAACAGAAGACAAGAAAACACCAGAAAGGGAAGGGCAGGGAGTGTGTAACTGCACCCGAGCAGGGTGAATTCCTTGCCAGCGGAGGAGGGAACCAAGAAGCCACCAGCCTGTCCCCTCAGGGTCAGAGCTGAGCACCGAGCACCACTGAAACCTGGAGCCAAGTGAAGAACGGGCTGGGCAAGGGCTGAAAATGTTCAGAGAGGCGTTGGGCTGTCAGCGCCTTCCTTAATCTGCACAGCTGGATACCTGCCTCTTCTGGAAGTTTTGTCTCTTAGATTTACCAGAGCCGTTGCCTGAGGGACGCCAGCTGCTCAGAGGGAAGGGGCACCACCTTCACAACAGGCCTCGTTCACCTCCTAGACACCAAACATTCCTCCCCTGAAATACGAGTGGGACGCAATACGAAGCAAGTACACAGTGCTGAAAAAAGCCAAGAAGGAAGGAAGATTACAGCAAAAGTCCTTTAACAAAACGACTAGAAGAGGTAGAAAATGAAAATTAGTAATACTCCTTTCAAATTAAAAAAGACAAAGGTGGAAGATAATAGAATCACGAGCAACATCTAAATAAAAGGAGCACCAGAAAGAGGAAACAGGAGATAGAGGGGAAGTTACTGACTGAAGAATCCATAAAATCTCCCACCAGTGAGAATTTTCCAGACTGAAAAAGCTGACGGAAGTATAAGCACAATGAATGAGAAGAGACCCACTCCGAGCACATCGTTTTGAAATTTCAGAACGCTGGGCTACTGAGAAGATCCGAACACTGCCAGAAGGGAAACACCACAGGCCAAGATCCAGAATGGAAACCGCGTCTAACAGTGGAGGCGCAAGGAAGGCATGAATGGGCTGATCGACACCTCGGGAGCTGAAGGAAACTCACTCCTGACATCCAGCTCTCCCCCCACCCCAGGCCACACATCTGCTGGGGGACAGGCACCACCAGGGCTGCCGCGTGAGGACCTGAGGCCGCCCGTGGACACAGGGGCAGAGGGCGGGCTCGGGGCAGCGTGCTGAGTGTTCTATTTAATGAAGCTATTACATTAACCAAAGACGCTGAACAATTATCAATATGTAGTAAATTCTCCCAGCTTCAGTGCCTAGCAGCATAACACTTTCACTGCAAGAAGAAAAATTAAAACAAAATAATTACCATTGTGCTGAAATTCTGGATTTCTCAGAGAGCCCTGAATCCGACGAGAGGGATGCCAGTAAGACGAGGCGTGGGGTGGAGAAGGCAACCGTCCGGGGGTGTTTCTTGGATATTCCAGAACTGTGGAAACTGGAAGAGCTGCCTCAGCAAATTTGGAGATATTGGCTTCAGAATCTTCCCGCAAAGGCAAGGGATCAATTGTTTTTATACCAGCAGCTGGAGACGTCAGAAGGGATATAGCACGACTTTCTTTCTAAATGATAAAAAAAAAAAGATACAAGTGTACATACGTAAATAAATAAACCAAGATTCAAATGCAAAAAAAGCAGAAGGGAAAATTTACATAACCTCCAAGTGGGGAAGATATAATATAAACAGATTTGGCTACACAGAACAAAACATGTATATATGACTGAAAATGAATTACTATCATTGCTACACATTTCTTTAAAAATAATTAAAAGTATAAAAAGGATATGAATAAGCAATTCATATGCTGTACATACAAATTATTCTACCTCATTAATAATCAAATAATAACATAAAATAAAAGCATAAAATAACAAAAGCAATAAGGTATCACTTTTCTACTTACTAAATTTCAAAAATTAATTTTAAAAAATGTAATAATACTCAGAGCTGGCAAGGACGTGGAAAAATCTCATCGACTGTTATTGGGAGCAAACGCTTTCTGGGGCAGCTGGCAACACAGCAAAAGCCTTAAAATTCTGTGATCTCTGACCACAGACTAACACATGGGGAGTATACATACAAAAGGAAAAATAATGCAAATTTAAATGTAGCTAAAAGATTCCCCTATAGCATTTTTTCTAAATAAAATAATAGGAATCTGGATTAAAAACCTAGGTCTTAAGGGTGGCGCCTGTGGGTCAAGGATTAGGGCACCAGCCCCATATACTGGAGGTGGCGGGTCAAATCCAGCCCCAGCCAAAAACTGCAAAAAAAAAAAAAATTAGGTCTTAACAATAAGAATCTGGTTTTAAAAACTACGGTATAACTACAGATCACATATTATGTTTCCATTAAAGTAAAATTATGAATTACATTAATGACATGAAAATATAGTCACAATGCAGTGCTAAGATGAAAGATCATGAAGTCTCATCTGCAGTGTAACTAAACACATTAGCTCACACACAGACCTACAGATCTCAAAAATTTAACAGTGGCCGTCTCTGAACAGGAGGTGTGAGATCATTTTATTTTCTTTTTCAGTTGATCAGTATTTTCTGTTTTCCACAATGATAATGTATCACTGTCCTAAAAGTCCCTGACAATTTTTAAAAGAACGCACAACCAGTAAAATCGAATACTGTTCCTGATAACTGCTGCGCCAGTCTGACAATGCCACCTCCCAAGCACTGCTTCCTAACCCAGAGGTCACCGGCTGTGACTGACCGTCCACTGTGTCAGAGCAAAGATGGCCGGAGGGTGTTGGTCTCACCCAGTTAACACACTTTACATCAAGATCTTGCATAACCTACAAGTTTCCACCTGCTTCTCTTTAAACAAGAATCAGCACAACAGAAAAAAATTCCAAAGAGAAATCGTTCTTTGGTTGTTTTTTTCTTTTCCTACATACATTAACAAAATTTGGGATCTCTGTCAAATTGCTGTTACTATTGCTAAAAAGACCCAAATAAAACCTGTAAATACTTCCCCTTGCCAGCTTCACGGGACTGATTTCCTAGCTGTTCACGGTTTCCATCTGCCCTGAGCACACAGCTCTCTGGGGCAGTCAGAGATTAACTGGCCTTGTCAGTCAGAACCTATTTACTTTGCTGCTCCAGATCTTCCAGGGGCTTCTGAGTGCAGTTCCAGCAAGGCACCTGGCTGCCCTTTCCAGCTCCTCTTCCGGCTTTCTCCTCTTCGCTCTCCAGACTCCAGCCGCCTGGGCCTCCGTGCTCTCTAAACCCTGCGCCTGGCTCTTACCTTGTACTTCTCCCCTGTCTACCTGCAGAAGCACCACTGCTCCAGATCCCTGCATGGGCACCTCCCTCATTAGTCAGGTCTCAGCCAAAATGTCACCCTCAGAGGTGCCTGTCCTAATGGCCCAAACTAAAGCTGCTTTACCTACCCCTTGGAGGTAATCTGCAGTTTTATTAATTCACAGTACTTACTGCTTCCTAGAATTGTCTTTTTAAACATTATCTGTTGGCTCAGCGCCATAGCACAGTAGTTACAGCACCAGCCACATACACCAAGGCTGGTGGGTTTGAACCTGGCCTGGGCCTACTAAACAATAATGACAACAGCAACAAAAAATAGCCAGGCATTGTGGCAGGCACCTGTAGTCCCAGCTACTGGGAGATTGAGGCAAGAGAATCGCTTAAGCCCAAGAGCTGGAGGATGCTGTGAGCTGTGATGCTACAGCACTCTACTGAGGGCAACATAGTGAGACTTTGTCTCAAAAAGAAAAAGAAAAATTATCTATTTCTCTCAATGAAAACATAAGCTCCATGAAGGCAGAGGTCTTATCTTGATTGTCAATGAATCTTCAGATCCCAGACCACTGCCTGGCAAGTATCCTATGATAGAATTAATGTACACAATTATGATCTAATAAAAGAAAAATTAAAAAAAAAAAAAGAACCCATTACATATTGCTGAATAAATCCCTTCCAAGGAGGTCCTCATCCAGAGTTCTCTGGAGCAGTGCCTGGACAAGCCAGCGACTTAAAGCCACCCAGTGCCTCATCCCTGTCTCTCAGCTCCATTGTGCAGCCCCGCGCCAAGCCCTGACATCACTTCCCTCACACGGTTCTTCAGTCCCCTTAAGCTTCTACCTGTGCCCGCCGCCTTCACACCAGACGCTATGAGCATCTCCTACCCAGGACTGCTGCAGTGAACTTTTCCACACTCTACTCTCGCTTTCTAGGGCAGCCAGAGACCTTGCAAAACATAAATCAGTCATGATGCCCTACATTTAAACTGTCCGAGTGTCCTCCCATTGCTCCTGAGATGATGACGGAAGTTCTCGGAGGTGCTCTCTCCCCCTGCCCCGTCTTGTGCCCTGCTCCCTGCCACACTACACTGATCTTTGTTTCCTAAAACCCTACGTTCTTTCTCCCGTAGGATCTTGGCACAGGCCACACTCCTCCTCCCCCCTTGTACCTGGTTAATGCTTCTCCTTCCTCTTTATCTCGGCTCATTTATGACCTCTTGACGCTCAACAAGCTTCCTGATCTCTACGACAAGGCCGACTCCTTGCAGAACAGCACTGTGTACTTCTATGCTGAAACCCTTATTAGTTTTAATTTTCTTTTTTTGGTGTGACTGATTAATGTGTAACTCCCTCAACAGACTGCAGGTTCCATAAGGTCACGTTCCATGCCTGTTTTTATTAACTATAGTCAAGACAGCCAAGCATGTGTGTAACTCTGCTGAATGAACGAAGTGTGCCAATGCAC